AAAAAAAAAAAAAAAAAAAAAAAAAAAAAAAAAAAAAAAAAAAAAAAAAAAAAAAAAAGAAGTATGTTAATGATAATAAAGAATAACGCAAGCTACACATGTGTCGTATTATATATGTATAAAAATGAAGTATCGTCAATATCTGTATGTGTATCGACCTGAAAAGTTTGATAAAAGGCACGAATGCGCCGCAAATGTAACTGATTGCCGCTGATTTAACGGGATATACACGTGTGAAATGCGCGCGTGTGTACGTGTGCTTGTCGAATTCAACACATTTAACGAACCGTATGATTTTAAATCTATGGACAGCAAAAAAAAAAGAAGAAGAAAGTAACGCGCGAGTCCTCAGTGCTGCTTAATATGAAACAAAAAAACCTTCCAGCCGAGGAGGTAACAGCGTTGGTCCGACCGCGCCTGCACATCCAACTGCGTCATTAAAATTGAATAAACTAACGATAATAGACATATATATATATACGTAAAAATTGTGCTTATTTATTTCCACTCCCTCGTACCTTCCCACATTATTTTTTAAACAGCTTTGACATCGAGGGACCATTTTGTCCCTGAAGCCGAGTCAAGTTAAGTCATTTTCAAAGATGCGCGAATCTCCTGAAATCATTAGGAATCAAATCCCGAGTACATGATGAATGAACATATTTTTATAAATCCCTTTTTGATACAAATTATGAAGAAGAAAAAAATATATGTAATTCCAGAGTCATGAAATCGTTGAAAATGTTTAAAAGTCACTGCGAGCAGCCTCGTTCCGGAGAAATATCTCGTATAGCCAGCGGAGCTCGAGCGAGATTTCCAAACGCAATCATCGACTGAAATAAATCCCAAGAGCATCGGTAATAGTAACACCATTGTGCGACAACTCGACACTCCTGCAATGGACGATTGCCACAGTTGTATATACATATATATATATATACAAGAGAGAATGACTATGTACTTACGTATAGTTTGCAAAACCAACGCGTACACGAGGAAACGAGAGAGAGAGAGAGAGATAGATCATACCGAGGGCGTCTAATGGCACGGCGAAAACGGGTCATCGGCTCGTTAAGAACCGACACCGTCAGCGCTGACACGCGATGGTGGTCAAGATAATGGGGCGCGGATGCACTTCGATGTGTAGCGACTAAGCTCCGCGGCCGTGCGATTTGATGACACGGATGCCATGATGTACGTTGATTCGAGGACGCCAAGGAGGCGAGACGATGCGCGTGTGGTTTTCCATGGGAGGAAGAGTCACTTTTCACGTCGTGACACTTTTTGCTGCATCAAAACTTATTACTAGGGATGCTTCTGTTACATTTTTTTTCTTTTTCTTTTTTTTTTTTTTTTTCATTTGTCATCAAGGGTTCTACCGACGAAAACTCATGATTGTTAAAAAAGTTAACGTTGGCTTAGTGCAGAAGAAGGAGCCATTGGAAAAACATCTCTTTTTCTGTTTTTATCGAGAAATCTTTAATTAAAAGCTGCCTGATGTTACTGGATAAAAAAAAACTAACAACGATGAGTAGTAGAAATTGTCAATACTTATGTTTCTTTTTTTTTCTTCTAGATTTCACGTCGTGCACACACACGATCACGACGAAGGAAAATAAGCACAATCAAACGTTTATGCATTTTTTTTGTTTGCCCTTGCATCAATCGTATAAAGTTATGCCAAATTTACAGAAGTAAAAACTATGCTCCTCTTAGGATTTCATTTTTCTTTTTTTAAACTGAGCAGAATTAAAGATGGTACCATTTTTTGCGCGATTAAACTTTCTTTTTTTACAAAATAAACGTATTGCCACAGCAAACCGTTAAAAAGCCTCACTACCGAATTAAATTTTTTTTTACTCAACTAAGCGAAACTAGAGACTAAAAAATGTCATTAGTCGTTATATAAGCTCAGATGCATCTTGATCTCGCAACAAAAGTATAATGTATACACCTATACCAAAACATATAGAGAGAGGGTGCGCTATCGTATGACCCCCCCCCCCCCGTCAATGTGCAAGTATAAAGTAAATAAAGAGCTACAATTGTTGTAAACGCGCATACCCGTGTTGACATAAAATAATATACGTATCGCGCGTGTGGCGCTACTGAAATTGAAAACTCGTCGCTCGTTGTAACGCGAAATCTGATTTGTACCTTCCGTGGAACTCGGACGGGAAAAAATAAATAATCATCTCCGAGGAAGGAACGGTGTGTCTTTATAATTCTACGAGTCATCTCTTTTCATTTGTTAAAAAAAAAAAAAAAATTTAACTTAATCTTTCATCGTGTAATTGTATTGTACGCGAGAAGCAAAATTATCACAACAATGCTACCGCGTTTTTATTCCAATATATCAGTGGACTCGCGTGTAAGTACAGGAGGCAGATAAGTACCGCACGCGTATAGTGACGACATATAGATAAACAATCTTCCCAAAGGCAAAACTTATCAAACCGAGTCGCCAGTTCTTACACACACGCGCGTCTAATGTTAATACACACTTGTCCAAGCTCTTTTTTACTACACGTGTATATATACCACAAATAATTATTTTTACAATGATTCTCACCTCATACATTCAATAAGAAGATATTACATCAAAGATTGGATGTTGAAAAAATATATTTTGAGCAGCGATTAAGGAATATAAAGTTTTCATATTAATTAACGAGTTTTTAAGTCTCAAGTGGGCTTTGACTTGATAGGGAAAGAACAATCTACTTGCTAGAAATTAAAAAAAAAAAAAAAAAATACATAAATTAAAAAGTTATCAAGTGGTTATCAAAATATTTCAAAAATTTGTACGTTTAAATTAAAAAAATTAAGTTTATCTTCAGTATCATTTTTATTTTTCATCATTTACATGAAGAACAATTATTTTTTTGGTCTAATATCCTCATTATTAAAAAATAATAGCACAACCTACTAAGGACATCAAGTCTCAGTTAAATAGACTTTAAAACAAACGTCCTATAAAAGGTGAAGTGAAATCATGAAATAATTATAAGGATCCGCACATCTCTGTGGTATTTAACAGAGAAGAAGGTGTTACCGAATAAAACCGATCGATACACTTTTATTATTTCCACAACTTGATTTGCTTACTTTCAGAAGAAAGAACAGGTTATCATACTCTTTGTGGACCTAAGATTTTCAGCAATAAAGTAAAATGAGTACTCCAAAAATAATGTCATAGCCAAATCTAAGTATCGACTACTTTATTTATAGTTCCAACTGTTACTTTTTCTCCTCTTCGTGTTCCAAAAAAAAAATTGTCTTCGTATTATTTGCAAATGAAAACAGTATTACAGAGAGCTATGTCGGCTTGCTATAAATCACGAGCAAGAGCTTAATAAACATCATTTTTTATTCACCTCAACATTACCATCTCGTGTGAAGTACATTACGAAGTCGTTTAGGAATTACAACCGTTAAGGTTAGTATTATTGCTTACCGATTTGAGTAGTAAATTATTTTGTTCTTATACTATTCAATGTACATATATCTGTATTAAAAAGGTTTGGATGCCATAAGAATAACTGTTACCCATGTATTATCTTTCTCAACGAAATTTATTAATCATGTAGAGTCTGTATTACAACCTCGGATGATCTATTATATTCATGATTCTGATCACATGGAATGAACTAATTTCTTCGAGATTTTTTGAATTTAACAGACATTGCTTCTTTCCCTAGACTTTTTTTTTTTAACGATTTCCGAAAAAAGGATGTACTTACAAACAGGACAATAAAAGATAATCTACATAGTTTCTGAATATACAAAATTTGTGTAGTAATCGATAGTATCGAGTATTTGAAATAACTGTTCTTAAAATAAATTCTTGATTAATGGAAATTTCGCACTTCTGATAATTATTAACTCAGAACTCTTTGAATCGTACCATCTCTATTGCTTTTGATGATGATGATGATGATGATGATGAGGATGCTGACATTGCGAGGGTCCCGCATGATTTAGCTGACTAGTGTGGGTGTTATGACTTTCTTCCAAATGTATTAAAAGCTCCAGGGGACAGCTAAAACTTCTTGGGCACAGCTCGCAGGGCCACAGGTGTCTCTGAATGATGTGCTCATTCAGTAGCTGTTTCTGTGTAAAATGAGCAGGACATTTTGGGCACCAGTAGATATTTACATTTACATGGTCTTTGCAGCATCGTCGCCCACAATTTCTACACAACATGTTGATAAACGCTGGTAGATCAGCTAAAGTCCTATCGGGTTTTTTCTAGGTGTTGATGTTGGTACTGCAATTGGGAATTAAAGGAATTTCCTTCGATTAGGTTTTTTATTTGTTTGCGGAAAGTAAATTATGGTTGCGGTCGTCGTGTACAATTAACCATGTTTTATAAGTTTGCAAAAAGTAAATGAGTTTATCTGAATTGGTTGGATGAAGTTTACTTCTTGGGTTGAAAAAAACTTACCTTAGCAATTAATAGTTGGATGCAGTAATTATGTGACAATTCAATAGTTAAGACATTCAATCATTTAAATTAAAAATCAAGAAAAAAAAATTTCGAACCGCACTGTTGGACGATTGAAAACTGAATGCACTTATACCGTTGATAATCTCGATCACTATACGAACTTCCAGGGAAATTCAATCGTATTTATACAGGTATACAACTTGTTCGAGTAGGTATTGGTCTACGAAAAAAAGATATCGCTTATAATGAAATTTTGCTGCGCATGTGAAGTTTAGAATAGACAGCGGTTAAGCATGATTTACTTTTAATTATTCTAACGAAAAACGGTATTTTTTAGTTTTTTATTGTTTGTTTGTTTTGACACCAATTAAGATGGAAGTTTACGAGTACACTTACGTAAACAAAAAATATATCATTATTTAGACGGTTGGATAAAAAATTAATGCCGAGAAACAGTTCTGAATATTAGACATGTAGCTTTTCAAGTTGTAAGTTTAATCTCACCATCGTAGAGTAGGTTGTATTTTGTCTCCCAGGAGGGAATAATTCCTCTCTGCTCTAAAGAAGCAGAAAATTCAAACAAAAGAAGGTCAAGCTTGATCAATTTGTCTTTTACAATTAAAACTACATTGTTTTGTTTTGTCTTGAATAGTCATAAGAATCTTTATCCGAATTTTTTTTTCATTTTTTGAGCCATTTGAACATATTTTTTTAATATTTATTAATTAATTACAACAAAGTATTGGAGGAAATCGATGCTCAAATCGCGTCTCTCAACATAAAATTTTATAACGACGATACCTATAAATTAATATGTGTGATTGCTTGATAGTTATTTAAAACATTTAAATAAAGTTTTATTTATTTAATCAAAAAATAAAACCAAAGTTATTAAAAGTGTGCTCCGAAATGCGATTACGAAGATATTAAAAAACACGCGTTTCTAAGGTAGTTTAAAAGACATTATCAGAAACAAAATTAAAATAGCTTACCGCTACTCCACTAAATGTAGAGAATGTTGTAGTAGAAGTCTATTAACAACATGGACAGCTTTTTTAAATTTTCCAGGAAAGTGGTTCAATTCAAAATCATGATCCAAAACTTGGTGGTAGTCCTTCGTGGAACCTTAACGGTTTTTCTATGATGTGGATACCTGCATTTTTTTCATTAAAAAAGGTTACGCTTCTCATGCCATTTACTTAATAAATTTTCCTCTGCAAACAAACACGATAGTTTTTATGTTCCTACTGTTCCAAAGCACTGAGAAAAGTTCCAAATAAAGGCAAAACAACAAAAGAAAATAAAGATATTGTGAATAATCAGCAAATGTCTTGACTGTATTTGAAAAAATCGGGAAAAACAGCTATAATGGTGTGACACATGTGTCCATAAATACAAAATGAGATACTTTTATCAAAGTCTCCGTTTCTGAAAAATGAAATCACTTGTGTGTTTATACGAGAGAAAGATGCGATGAATTCCTCAGTTAAAAGTACTCTCAATACCTACGGCTTCGAGATAATTTACTCTTTAGTACTCTTGCATAAAAAAATGTACGCAAAATTGAAGCTTACCAAAGGAAACACCTCATTTCCTGTTTCAATCCAAAGAATAAAAAATAATATTGTATCATCACTTATTTATTACGATGCTGGCGTTATTTTTGTTAGTTGATTTTTTTTTTTTTTTTTCTAATATAAATATCTTTGAAGTAGTCATGCCGTGCAGTACTACTTTTGACTTCTTTCGAGCCACCGAAATGTTGTTTAAGAGTTTATTCTTCACCTTAGTGATTATTCCACTTGTTCTGGTGAGTTAAATTTTCGTACAGTACTCTGACTTTAAAACAATAATTATTGTTTATCATCTTACAACAGTTGAATCATGTGAATTGCAAGTAATCATTCCATGAGATACCTAATGTTTAATTTCATCATATTCCATCATACTCATGGCTGTAGCATTTTTTCATGAGAAGGGCACGAGATGTAGTTTTTGTGTAACTCGAGCACAAACGTATCTATACATTTTGGCAACATATCTATAAATTAATAATAGCTCACTCCCAAAAACTGTGTCCCACAGTTCATCTTTTCTCAATGTGTATAAATCATGGTTATGCTTATGCGGCGGCTTATGGCTTTTACTACACGCCTGTTACTATGAATAAGCAAAGCGTCGCTCTACACGAATCGCACGTAGAGATTTTTCCATAACTTGGAAAATTTCAAAGATACCATATTGCTAAAAAATTAATGCATCATTATTAAAAGAACTCATTCAATTCAACGCAAGTTGAGAATTTTTTTTAAATTTATTTAAATAATTATTCTCATTAGAATACAAAGGGTCAGCAACAAGAATCGGAGCCAGAAAATAAAGATAAAGATGAAGATCAAAAGCTATCTTATTTACGTGAGTACAATCTGTAAAATTAATGTTAGCAGTACAATAAATAAGCCAATACTTAGATGGATGAGATTCTTTAGGATATGTGAATTTTTCTGGCCATTTTTAATTTCCAGTTAAAAGTAACAACCTTCGATCGTATGGATACTTAGGTAATACGCTGAAAAAAGTTTGGAATTATACTTTTCCGCAACTTTTACCACTAAAAAGTACTGGGCTAGACAATACTCGAGAAAATAATCTTGAAAATCAAACGGCAGTGTCGGTAGATACAAAAATTATTCATCCAAATGTTCTTCGACTAGAATCGACTCCAACTGAGAGTACTAAAGATGAAGATCGAAGCAAATATACCACACGTAAGTATCATGTGTACACTACTTTAGCAATAATACGCACACTATAAAAGAATATCAATTAATTATACAAATAAGCTGTGAATAGCTTAATGTTTTTAATTGGTAAAACACTTTTGCAATGTAATTATTAATTTTCAGTCAAGAGTAACGGCACTAAATCGTCAAATCATGGAATTTTTCGTGCTCTCGGGGAGTGGTTGTGGAAAAACAAGTATTTTAAAAAACCACAACATTCATCAGTACAAAAGAATACAACTTCAGGAAATAGTAATGGTTTAAAAAATTCAACTGAAGTTTCAGTTAACGGAATAAACAATACAAAAAATGTGGAGCAAAGTACAGTAGGTCCGTCCCCAACCATAAGCAATCCTGTAAACACCAGTGAGTCGCAGAATTCCATTCAAGAATCGAACGTGAATCACAAAAATTCAACTGAAGTTTCAGTTAACGGAATAAACAATACAAAAAATGTGGAGCAAAGTACAGTAGGTCCGTCCCCAACCATAAGCAATCCTGTAAACACCAGTGAGTCGCAGAATTCCATTCAAGAATCGAACGTGAATCACAAAAATTCGACTGGAGTTTCAGAAAATGCCATGAATTCAGCAAATGGTAGTCCTAACACGAAAAAGCCCAAAGTGACATTATTTATAACATATGATCCAGACAATATCGACATGGGACTAAGTTCGCGGCTGCTGGAATTCGGTCCCTGAAATTGATCCTGTGGTTCCATTTCGTGAATATTGCCTCTCGTAGTACCAGATATTTCACTTGTACATTTCTTGGTTTCTAGGGGCAGTATGAAATTTAGGTAAAATTATATCTTAATGAGTACAGTATCTATTTAAGTGATTCGAGGAATCGTTTAAGATTAATGTCATGATGTCATGAGATGAACAAAGAAAATGCTATACATGATAACTATCAACTAATGTTTTACACTAGTTGTAAGAAGTTCGAAAAAAAAAAAATGTTTGGTCTCTGCTGTGGATTCACTCGAGAAAACTAAAATTGTCATACTTGTCTTGGATGTGAGATTGAACGTTGTATAAAGTTATAGTAAGAATGAACGTGTAAGATAATAGAAAATTGTTGGTGTATTAATATTAATCATGGTAGGTATGATCTTAAAACATGTAAATGAAAAAACTTTGTAACACCAGTATTTTGGTGAAAATTGAAAACAAAAAAAAAATTTGAATCTCAAGAAATCATTAATGTTGCAAAGAGCATAAAAATATGTAAGCGTAATCTAAATGTTTAGATTTATTGAGCGTGACTTTAAAAAAAACTGATCTATAAAATTATGTCCTCATGTATCGATTATATATTCGGTTTATAAATTTAACTATGAAGAAAGAATAAAAAACTCATTATTTTGACATTTGTCCTAGTTATTTCTTGAAAAGCATGAAGAAGCAGCTAATGACTGTGACACGCGTACATGTCAGAATTAAAAAAAAAAAAAAAACACTACTATTTAAGTTTCTATTAATGTCGATGAAATTACTTTTGTGTTTGTATGCGAGAACAATACGATGAATTCTTGAACTATCTTAACGATGTCCTCGAGGTAACAACTTATATCAAGCTCATTCGGTGATTGGTTAAAAAAATGTTGGTAAAGAAATCATGCGAGTTATCATAATATATATCATTTGAAATATAGAATAAAAATTAGTTCTTACCGTATTTATTCTGAAGTATTAAAAATAGAGTACGGTAAAATCGTTAATTAGTTACGTCTTTATGTTTTCCTAAACTAATATTATGTATTAGACATCAGTTAAATAGTACTAGACGTTGAGTAGCCTGTACACATTTGACTTATATTAAACGATTGAAATGTGTTTTAAAAGTTTAGCCGTCACTCTTGTGATTAATCAACTTGTTCTGATAAGTTAACATTTTCTTCTGCACAGATTCCGTTATTATAACTTTTTGATTGGAGGTACCAAACTTTGAAGTGCCTACTTCACGTCTGGTAGAATACTTTGATTTATTGGACAAAAATTAAGCTGTCATGCAAGATTGTGTTGAAGAATAATACTGTATAAACTCGGGTTAAAATGTAGAGTATGACATGGGACCCACAAGGTCGAACATAATATATATATATATATATATATATATACGTAATGCTACCCTTTTAATTTTACTTTCGTACTTAAACATTTAAAAAATATCCAAGTATCCCTACAACGAAGTTACTGACATTTTTGGACTGGACGAAACTTTTACCTAAAAAATTAAACAACTTTTGAATGCATTTAATATTTGGAATAGTTATTTCTTTAGATTTCATTGTACGAAATAAAGAAATATCGAATAGGTTGATAAAATATCAATTTGTAAAAACTATAAATCACTAATTTTTCTTTTGATAATCAATTTTAGATGATAAGTTATGTATTTTTTATTTTATTATTGATTTTTCATTCGAATTTGACGGCCCAACAACATGAATTTTATTCAACTCAACAGGAAAATGAAAAGAATCCCAGTAGATTGGATGAAGGTACGAATAATTTGAGCATGTCAAATATTATTTATAAAAAAAAACTTGATACTTATAGTAATTATCTATTTAAAAGTGTTAATCAATTTTTATTTTTCAGTTACTAGCACAGAAAAAGAAACGTCCTATGATGCAGCTTTTGATGAAATTCTGAATCGGTTTAATAAGACTAAGCCACTGCAGAAATCATCAGAAAATAAAGTTTAGTGTGGGATAATGCTACTGAAGAAAAGTATGACGGTTTCAAAAATTTAACTAAATTTGTGGTAAATACGGTGAATAGCAAAAAAATCGTTGAACACAACACGGACAATGCGGTCCAAACCACTAAAAATCCTTTCAATAGTGACACACGAAACTTATCTCAAGTGCAGAATAGTAATTTAGAAAAAATAACTGAAAATTTAGTAGATTATTTAAATGACACAAAAATGGTTGACCAAAGTACAATCGGACCATTCCAACCATAAAAAACAAAAAAACACCAGTGAGTCGCAATATTCCTCTCAAGAACAGTATGGTGGCGTAGAAAATCTCACTGGGATTCCAATACATTCAGTAAACAATAAAATAACTGTTGAACAAGATGTGTATAATCCAGTTCAATCCAAACAGTATTAAAAATTATGTAATAGTTATATTTCTTCTAAAGACTCTATTGAAAAATATTGTAGAGCAGACTCCCCAACGTATATGGAAAATTGCAAGCTTGTACTATTTCCTGAAATAATAAAACAAATCATGGAATTTTTCGTGCTCTCGGGGAGTGGTTGTGGAAAAACAAGTATTTTAAAAAACCACAACATTCATCAGTACAAAAGAATACAACTTCAGGAAATAGTAATGGTTTAAAAAATTCAACTGAAGTTTCAGTTAACGGAATAAACAATACAAAAAATGTGGAGCAAAGTACAGTAGGTCCGTCCCCAACCATAAGCAATCCTGTAAACACCAGTGAGTCGCAGAATTCCATTCAAGAATCGAACGTGAATCACAAAAATTCAACTGAAGTTTCAGTTAACGGAATAAACAATACAAAAAATGTGGAGCAAAGTACAGTAGGTCCGTCCCCAACCNTTAAATATTAAGAAAAATATACATATATATATCACTCGTTTAGATAAACTTTATAGGCACAAAAATAGCTTTTTGTTAATTTTCTAATAATTTCTATAATCATTGTATTAAATCTAAGGAATGCCTTGTTGGTAAACATATTTATGAGTGTTTATACCTCTCCGAGGTCAGTACATTGTAATATAATATATATTATGACATTGTGCTGCATCGCTAAACGTAGAAAAATACTGTAAAAATTGTAAATAAACAATTAAAACATCTTATGAATTAAATTATTTTTCCAAATTAAAACATCAATATTTTCTTTTGTCCATGAAGCCTTTCTACAAATTTCAGATGGACAAAAAAATAAAAATGTAAAAACGTCAGAGCAAGACGTTTTATTTGAATTCACTGCATCAGCTGTTTCAATATTTTTAATCATACTTATACTTACATTCTTAAATTTTGTTCTAATCTTTTTATCTTTTCAAAAAGTTTCCATAATAGCAGATACACCCAATACATAGGTGAAAGTCTCAATAACCGAAAATGATATGCTCTGGTGAAAAGACCTTGTAAAAATAAGAAAAGTATACAAGTACACACAAATTTTTTTTAATATTTATTTTTATTTCATAAAATTTCATTAAAACAAACGCACTGGGATGACCTACTTTCTTCAAATGGACATATGAGTCTCTTTGAAAATATTTTAACTTACGGTTACGAACAATATTTACGGTACACGAAAACTGGTAACTGTTTCAATCCATGTTTAGCAGTTTTTACACACACAAACATTTACACACACATAAGTATGACGATTTAAGCTAATATCAAAGAACAGCGTGCGTAAATACGTCATTCAATGATTTGGCAATACAGTATCCGTAAACTTATTGATTGACTATTTCAAGAATTCAAAATTACATAACTCCGATGTATACTTATTACGTCTTTCTAGATCTTGTCCGTTATCATTGGCCCGAACCGCCGATACTGGAAGAAAAAAAATTATTTACTCATATAATATTGAGGTTTCCGTACCCCAGCACCACTACTTGATCAAATATTGGCTTTAATTTCTTATCGCGCAACAAACATGAAGAATTCCTTAAAAATTCTAGAACTAAGGAAAATTGTTTGGTCTTCATGAATTAACTTTGAAAATTGTATGTCTGTTACTTTCAAATAGTAAATTTAAATACTACTATACGAGCAGTCGTATCTATTTACATCCAAGCTATGATTACAAAATTTATGTAAAAATTTTATCATCAAATTTTTTCGAATAGAAAACTAACAATTCCATGAACTTCGTATGTACAATTATTCGAATAAACACACATTTTGACATTGATCAATTCAATGGATTAAAAAACTCACGAATCGTGTAACATTTCCTTCGTAATTACAGATTTCAGAGTCAATTGAAAGATTCGCGTAACGACAAAACACAGGAATGATAAAAAAAAAAAAAAAAAAAAAACGTAATCACTTACTGTAAATTTAACCCATTGATTTCAACGTGAAAATTTTCAATAATTGTGAATATTCGACTTCTGCATCGGGTGATGAATATCTTACATCGCATTATAAAAACAGTACCGAGTGACATTGACAAGTGTCCGCAGAACGCAGAGAAAAAAACGCCACAATTCCAGTTTTATTCCGCTGAAATATACATATCCACGACAAAAAAAAATCGCTGTTGCGTTTGTCGCGTGTTGTAACATTGCAGGATCACGCGATGAATTCTTCGAAGATCTTGATGAGGTTGTCGATGCCCTCGAGGTAATTTTCGTCAATCTCCGAGTCCTCGGCTGGAAAAACGTGGGCGAAATCGATCATAGAAACCCTCGCCCAGTCATGCCTGTCCTCGCCATTGCTGTTGGCGCTCAGCTCGGAAAGAAGATTCGCGTAGTCCTCCTTCATCTCTATTATGTCCGCGTCGAAGTTGTTCGAGTACGAGTGCGTTCGGCAGAGTTTGGGTACTTGTACGTCGGGAAATCGTTTTTTTGGACTATTCGAATCACTGAAACACGGAATGATGATTTTTTTATTTTTTAGTTTAGACGCATACACGATATTCTTCATATGAGATATTTTTATTAATTTGTTAGTTGAAAAATTTTAACACGAATAACAAAGCCACGGAATTTTGCGGCAATCGAGCTCAATATGCATAATGAATGTGTATAAGATTGGCACATGGAAAATATAATAAACCTCTACTCTCTTGGTATTTCAATTTTGAAAGATTGAAAGTCATACGGTGGAATAATCGTTCGTTCTTTCGTTCTATCACAGGTGTTACTTTCTTCAACTGATACGATACAAGATTTCTGGTATAAATAACTGAAACAGATGTGCCTTGCAGTACAGTTTTTGGCTTATCTCTAACCATCGAGATGTCCGTAAAGAATCTCATATACGTGCTTGTAGGCGTCCAACTCGTTTTTGTAAGTTGAATTTTCGTGCCATGGAAAATCAATTCATACTTTATTGTTAAAATGTACACAAACAAATCTTTTTTACTACGTTCATGTCACAAATCAGTTTGATTGTTGTGGTGGATACATTTTTAATACGCGTAGTGATTAAACACATTTATGACAAACAGTTTTTACTAATCAAGGTTTTCCACATAATACATTGCAGTGATGATGTAATGAATGTGAATTACAACCCACAAACAATTTTATCATTAAAATTTTTTTTTCTTTTGTAGGCTGCGAGTATAAGTGAAGATTTGAAAAAGGTAAGTGTTGAAATCGTTTTTAAATACTTTTTTTTACATTCTCCTAAATCTTACATAAAAATCTTTAGTAAATTGGGGATTTGTCTGATTAAGCATGAAAAATATAAAACTACCTATCCAGAAAAATATTATTTTTAGTTACATGTATTATTGATGTTTTAGTTAATTAAACAAAACAAAAGTATAAAGGATCTATTGATTAACACTTCATCTATCATCTAGTCTCGAGTATTATAATAAACTATATTAAAATTTTTGTTCATAGAAAAAAATTTGGATAGTTTTCTTCTCACAATTTTTTTATTTTTTTATTATTAATTTAATTTTTTTTCAGGATTCGAGTGTCCAGCTAGGATTGATTTCAAAAGAGCGCTGTAATCAAGATGAGAAGCAACCTAAATCACGTAAGAATCATCTGAAAATCATTATTATTAGCAATTATTAGAAATAAAAACTAATTTGTTGTTGAGAAAAGTAATCTATAATTGTACGGTAATATCTACGAATCCACTAGTATGCGTGAAATGTTTTATTTTAAAAGTATTAGTAATCTCTATTGAAACGTAAATTTTTCCTTCACAGTTGACGATGAGATAAAATATACTAACGGTCACTTTAGTGAAATACTAAAATTGGCTTTAGAAACTCCGGGCCTCCCTATACGGCATACTACTGCACAAAAGCAATATCCTGATGTAAAAGATGAAGCACAGATTGATAAGGGCACATACGATGTGAATAAAAATGTAGGGGATCAAGATGATAAAAGTCAAGACAAGATGATAAAACTAGTCCTGACAACGCAAAAGTCAGAAGATGGTGGTGCCACTACCACAGCTCCCAATGATAGTAACATGTCGGAGGTAATAGTATCACAAAATCCTCCTTCTTTTTCTCCAGAAGGTAATGTACAAAATTTTGTAAACAGTGACCCTCAGAATATATACAAAAACACTTTTACCAGTCCCAGTATTGAAAAGACATCCAATGTAATAGTATCACCTGACCCACCTCACGTCTCGAGTAGTTATGACCCTTCAAACGAGTCGAATGATAATTCAGATATGACTAATGGATCAGCCAACTTACAAGGCTTTCTAAAAGTAATTGAAGTTCCTCCTAGTCCTATTCAAAATAACGGAAACAGTCCCGTGGCACCGACAAATAATCCAGGATATACTCAACCAATACCCCAATTTTATCCTCAACCGAATATCAACGGCAATTACGGCTACTTTAATATGAATAACCAACCAGGAAATAAACAAACCAATGCTCAAAATGGTAGATATTTTCAACCGGGCTATTTAGGAGCTGGTTATGGATATTATCCGCAAGTAAGTGCAGGAACTGGTTTTCAGACCAATGGATATTACCAACAAGGAAATGTAGGTGCTGGTTATGGATATTATCCGCAAAAAAACATAAACTTTCAAACCAACGGATATTATCAACAAGGAAATGTAGGTGCTGGTTATGGATATTATCCGAAAAAAAACATAAACTTTCAAACCAACGGATATTATCAACAAGGAAATTTGAGAGCTGGTTATGGATATTACCCGCAACAAAATATAGGAACTGGCTTTCAAACTAATGGATACTATCCACAGGGAGTTGCGGGAAGTAATTACGGAAGTAATGGTTATTTTCCCCAAGGAAACTTAGGATTTGGATTTAGAGGTAACGGTTATTCTCCTTCAGCAAATTCAGGAGCTGGTTTTGGGAGTAATGGACACTCCACCATAGGAATTTTAGGTGCTAATGCTCAAGGCAATACTTATTATGATCCATCACAACAAAATAATATGTATCATACGTCACTGAGTAACAAATAATATTACTGCCAGCCGAATGATAATGACAAGTAAATTATGTTAGGACATGCACAACTGTCAAGACTCGCATGTGTAATACGCAATTCATCAATATAAATATCAGTACTACTTTTATACCAATCACAACCAGCATATTAAAGTTGTATTTTTGGAACAATTAAACAAATAAGAAGCAATTTTCTTATGGATGAGGCCAATTTCTTATATTTTTTTACGTTTTTTTGCATAAATGTATGAATGATTGTTAAGAAAATAAAAAAGTTATTCATTTAATTTGCTTTAATGTTTAATACTGCTTATCTTCGTCTTGCAAGTTATATACTTACAATGCACGAAACAGATCTGACATATAGTGATAATGATTTCCTCAATTAAAAAACATCTCTCGTCAAAATCTTGAATGTACATTATTTTTGGACCAACTAAAATATTTTTTTTCTGTTCATCAATAATTACATTTTGTATGAAGTTATGTAGCGTCATATCACATAAATTTCTTAAATTTTAATCCTATCAAAAATAGTAGTATATAAAAGTTGTATAATAATATACAAGTCTTTCTGCATTTGTAACAAAATTTTCTAAAAGTAAGAGATACCACCTACCAGAACAACAATCTGGTAATGTTTATGCCCAAAGGGATTCTGTTGAATACTCGTTAAAAAAAAAAAAAAAAAAAAAGTGAAATCACAAATATCCAAGTATATCAATTTCTTCACCGTAAAAGTCGAAAGAACCGCACGAAAAAACACTACAATGTCGGATAACAAACACAAACATTAAATTACACTTTATGGGTTGAAAAAAAAAAATGTATACCTGTAGTGGGTTTCCTTGCCATAGTCGGTGTTGATCGTCTTGTCGGGCGATACCTCGCAGCTCTGCAAGCTAATGCTCCGCTTGAGCCTCTGCAGCCTGTCGATGGCGCGATTGAGCCTCGGGCTCCGTGTAGGTGACTCGGACTTTGGGGAACTGGGCCTCACGGGTGACAACTCCTCTCCAGTCGTCCTCAGCGTCTCGAATCTCGGCGACTCGGGCCTCGAGTTGACGCCGGCCGGCGAGCCGAGTTTGCCGACTTGGTTGATCGAGTTGAGGCTCCGGCCGCCCGAGAAGCTCTTGCACCGGTTGAACGGCACCCGCAGCACGGACTCGGCGTAGCTGTTGTTCAATTGGCGCAGCGCGAGCTGCTGGCGCAGGCACTTCGCGTCGTACGCTATCAGCAGGGAGCTCGAGAACAGCCGGTAGCGCCTCTGCACGCGGAAGAGGGACTGGATTTTCCATAAATTCGAGAGCAGCCGGAGCACCAGCTCACGGCACGGGGGTTTTGTCGATGTGCCGTTTAAAAACAACTCGAGAGCTGAAATGCAGATTGATTGGTCAGTTAAAATGTTTGTCGTTAGGTACTTTGGTCGATCTTTTTCTTATTAGGAGTGACAAACAAATCGTTCAACGTCAAAATCACTCCATCACAAGTGCAATCGAGCAAAAAACTGTATATTTTTCTTGGATTTTAAAATAATCATGATTTTTATTATTGCACGATCCACGTTATGTTCGACGTTGTAAATGATAAACAAAATTTTACAGTTTCACGAAAATGTTTTTTTTTTTTTTTCATAGTCGAATAACAAAAGTCTTATTAACTTTGATAAAAGTTTAAAAACTACTACTTTTATAAAATTTGTTTTAACTTTTAATTATTTAATAATACGTTATTAATGGAATTCGGAACTTGTTTTAATTGTAAAAATAATGAATAGTACTTTGAAACCTACTTCACAGGTAAAAACACTTTTTCCAAGTATTTGTGCACATGTTTCTGTACACACCATTATCTTATCTAACATGAGAAAAACATTGGCAGTTTATGACGTACACCTCACCTTTGACAACACTCGTAGCGTCGAGATTTTTGCCATAAACTTTGTCGAACCTCTCGAGGTTCCCGGATGGTATCCGGTAAACCTGAAAGCCGGTTATACAAAACCCGTAGGCAGCCTTGGACTCGGCGTACTTGACTTCCTCGGAGATGCGTTTTTCGGGCGTCGCCAGCGGATCCCAAGTACGTCTCCCAATTTTTATGTCTATGAGGCACGGCTCGATCATCCCTTCGGTTATGTTTTCCAGTTCTAGAAACTTGATTCCTGAAAAAAATCAGTCAAGAAAGTTGAATATTTTCAAAGTTTAAATTTTTTTTCCTGATACAATACAATATTCAGAAATTTTAATTCTTATGACAGATAAGTAAAACACGTTTCATACATTACAATTTGTTGTTAAGTATCCCAAGTAAAACATTCAAATATATTCTTACATCCTTTGATAATTTTTTTTTTCTGAATTACTTTTTCTTTAAAATTACAATGCTTTTTTTATGCTAGAAAAAATTTTGTCAAGTAATGCATCATAAGTAGTAAATAAAAGAGCGTACCCTATTTTAGCGGAAATAATGCCGTTACATTTTGAGCAATAAACATATATTACAAAAAAATTGAAAAAGTATCCATGCCCCAGCTTGTACGTGGATATTATTGAAATCGTTGAATCATACAAGCGAGTGAAATAGATGCTTTGGATGTAGAAAAAAAAAATTTAGTTTACTCGGCAAAAAAAAAAAAAAAAAAAATTGGTTAGAAACAATTCTTGGTATTAAACGTTTAGAATGCTCTAGCGATGGCAGAAGATAACTAAATTAATCGTCTATAACGCGATAAAGCTATATCAAAATCGTTTATTTATACAATTAATAAAACGCTTCGGCCCGTATGGAATAAAATACTGCATGATAGCATTGACACGTTAACCGATTAGTTCAATTGCTAATATTGTAACTACACCGGCAATTTATCGAGTGACAATGATGGCATCGACATTATTTTTTACACCTGTAGCGATTTCGTTGGGAAACTCTTTTTGCGAGCATTGACGCGTTTGATCGACCGCTGCGAAAATACAATATTCTTAAAAATAATATATCAAACAGTTAAAAATCAATTGAACAAAAGTGTGTCACGTCGATTTTTCAAGGATTTTTCCAATCTACCCCGCTATAAGTAGAGTTATACCGATCCACGCATGTTGGACGATTTTTTTCCGGAGTCACTCGATGAAACGAAGCATTACTTTCGCACTATTTTCACGAACAAACTGACGATGCACCGAAGCAGTTGGAAAAACACAACGATCGCCTCGGAACGAGTTTCATGCTTATAACTTATTTTTAGTAGTACGCAAAATACCAATTATTTTATGAAGTTGAAATTCAATCAAAAAATCTTATACCCTTTTATCCATGAACATTCAAAACCCATGTTTAAACGGTTGAGCGAACGAAAAAAGAAACTATTTGTTTTTAAAAAAGCTTGGATTTTCGTTGCAACGATAACCATGAAATACCAACGTTTATTGAAGATGCGCATCTCCTTGGTGCCGTGATAGAGCGGCGTGTGCCGTTGTATCTCCATGTCGGTCGGATTGCCGGAGATCTGGAGGTTCTCGTAGAAGGCGATCTCCCGCTCGCCCAGCACCGGCTTCACGATGGGCTTCAACACCCGGCCGTTCGGGCCCTGCAGCATCCCTGCGTCGATGTGCATTTTTTATGTTATTTCAATGAAACCGAAATCACCTCTCGAGGAGATAAACCAAAACTGTCGCCGTCTCGGAAGCACAACGAGCCGTACGAAAACACGCGTAGTATAGAACACGCCTATTTGCGAGTCACCGTTTACTATAAATATATATATATATATATATATATATATATATATATATATATATATATATATATATATATATATATATATATATATGTATGTATATACGGAGCGACCGCGCGGTGGAAAATACTATCGACCTCTGATGCGAGCCTCCTAATTTTCAATACTGTGAAGCTAAGTGCGCGCCACGATTATAATACGCGATAGTCGCCGAGAGATAAAAGATAATGTGTGCGTGCGAGCGCGTGTATATGCACGTTATACACGTATAGCTGAAGTTAAACAAATGAAGTGAAATCATTGTTATCAGTCGTATAGCTGTAATTAGACGTGAAAAGGGGAAAAAAAAAAGAAACGAAAGCGGTTAGCGGTAGGTTAATGCGAAAACGTGCCGCACAATAGATTTGACTCGCGGTGTAACGAGCTCCGTGTGTTTTCCGGAGGGAGAATAATTGGCTGTTATTATTTTTCCGCGCTGATTGTTTTCGTTCGCTCGAGAATTGTGTCGGCGCGGAATTTTTATCCAAAAGTGTAGTTTTTGGCTGTGCCAATATTTGTCTCGCGCGAATGGAAAGCCACACACGCATTGCCGTTTCGTTAAGTACCTACACGCTAATTCTCGTTACTTGGGAATCCGTTGCGAGAAGTATACTTTCGAAAGTTGGAGTTCGGAAAATACAACGACCAAGTATTACTCGAACACTTGTCGGTACGCTTCAACGGTATTATCTCTCTCGAAATTTTGTTCCTTAATTAGTTTATGGTAATCCATCGATAAGCTACGTACATATAGGTACTCGTTTTATCATTGTTGATATCGGTAATTTCATTTTACTCCGAGTTGAAAATAATTTTTTAAAGTCCAATTTATTTTGCCCGGATGTGTGTCAAGTTTCAAGTGCAACAGACCTTTTGGAATCAAATAGTCATATCACCTTCAAGTGACAATAGTTTGCTTTTAAAAAAATCATTAATTAGACTTCAAAAACAAAAGAAAGAAAAATAATAATTTAATATATATTTTAGCGTACCTACATGTAGGTACATGGATGTATTGAAGTCTAGAGATGGCCACTCAAAGCTTTGCCGGTCAATTAAATTCAAACTGACATGTACTGAATCCTGAAATAATTTGTGTTGAGCAGCGAAAGAGACACTTCACTCATAATAAAACTGTATTGCGCAATTTCATTGTAACATTGGAAACACATAAGGCCACGAAAACGAAAAAAAATTTTCGTAAACGATTAATCGATAAAAAGAGAGCCATGTCGAGTATAAATGTTAATTTTGAAATTTTTAATTCTGATGCTGCAACAAGTTTCCAACGATGTAATGCAACAACGCAACATAGTTTTATTACGAATGGGGCAAGTATCTATTTTTTCTCTTCAAAACAAATTATATTAGTGTTCAGTGTATGCCAGTTTGAATTGAATCGCTCGCCAACGATTTGACCAGGAGTCTTTAGATAGGACTTCAAAACTCACACAAACAAAGCGGCCCTTGAAACAATTATGTACACTTGAGTACATCTCTATTGTCAACTTAATTATCTACTGAAAATACGAGTTTACGAAGCTCTATTTGACAGCGCAGTTGGTGCCATTTTCCAATACATTATTCTTCAACAGTACAGGTTTATCTTGAATGTCGGAAAAGAAAGAAAGAAAAAATGTTACGAAGAGCAAACGAGTGCTTACCTGTCTTTTTTTTCTGCACATCGAAGGGATGGCCGGCGACTTGAGTGACGAGAAAGGCAGTGCCATCCGGCAGCTCCGACTCCAGATCGCATGTCACCGGCCGGCTTTTCGTCACTGCCGGTTCTTCGTCGCCACCACCGTAGCCAGCGACGCACGATGACATGGCTTTATCTCCCCAATGGTACCCTCTCTATTTTGCAGACACCCTCGGCGCAACAGCCAATCGTCCGCTGACCTTAAAACGTTACGTCCATTTATTTTACTTTACTTGGATTGTCAACATTGTAATATCACGAAACTGGGGGGGAAATCGGTCAGGGAGTCGCGATCGAGTGTATCACGTTGAGACGTTGATCTATGAGCGATTATGAGAAAGTGGTTTTGATAAACTCGGTTTTTAGATAAGGCGTGTTGCGTACGACGATAAAAAAAAAAAAAAAAAAAAAAAAAAAACAAAAAACCCACTGCAGTCACGAGCGGGTACCACAGTACACAAATCGTACGATTCCATTTTGCCGGCAAAGTGCGGAGTAACAGCTGGTGGTACAGTATATGTATATGTATACTTTTACCGTGCAGTACAGAAACGTGGAGTGAAAACGCCGGCCGGGTCGCGCTCACAGCTGGGAGGGATTGCGCGCCGCGGCGAAGTACGGGCAATTACAGTGAGCGTTAAAAACGAGTTAGCTTCTTTGTAATCTTTTTTTCTTTTTCCTGCACATTATGGGTGTATAATGTAATGGTGGCAGGCGAGCCTTTCGACATCACATAATAACAGCAGCGCGCGGGTTTTCTCGGCTCCAAGGTATACAAAGCGGCTTTCGTCCTGTATTAATCAATGACAAAGTTTTGCAGAAACGAGCCGCCATAGGTACACCTTATGGGTATGACTACAAAAAAATTCTTTTTTGAAATTCGCATCAAAACGACACTATGTAATATGTTTATACAACCAAGTACATGTAAAGTACCGCACAGGCTCGCCCTTTGTTTTTCACTCCTCCACTCTCGAGTCTTTCTTCCTTCCTACACGTATATAAGTACTACGCATACACATCTATCTAAGAGTATTATCTCACGTAAATCGAGCACAACTCCGCTTCCGGTTTCCCCCCTGCGTTTCGCATATATGTATACACACACACACACACACACCCACATACACACACACACGTCNAAATATATTTTTATCAATTGATGATATCGTTCAAGACTAAGCTACACACACGATGTTATAGATATCTTTGGTATAGAGCGTATACAGCACAAGCCATTGGCAAAGTTATGTCACCTAATAGATATCGAACGGATGTGATTAATATATATTATATAATTTATACTAATTTTTCATACTTTTTTTTTACCGTGATATTAACATTTACCAAAAAATAAAGACAAATTCAACATTTTTTTTATTTTCTATGAGTAAAAAAAAAAATTAATAATCATTGCAGTTACAAAAGCAAAAATAAAATCGGCATAAAACGTTTATTGTTTTGTTTGTACTTTAGTCTCGTATTTCATACAAAGACACTTGATTTTATCTTTTGGTAACAACAGCAAGCTATAGTGACACTACTGCTGCTATATGTACTATATGCCTTTTCGTGCTTATCAGTAATAAAATACTTGGAAAACACGTTTTAAAAAATAGAAAAAAATGTACAATTATTAATCCATTCGTTTTATGGACATTTTATCGTCGTTATTAACTAAATAATATATAATACTCCTCAGGTAAATTCAGGTCATTCAGGACACGAAAAATGTTTAAGGTAACTCGGGACAGCATCAAAAACAGTGTTAAACAATTTATTATTTGAAACAAACAATTTCTCTCTATTCTACTAGACCTTTTACAAGAAAAACAACAAAAAATTGTATGAGTTGAAGTGATAAATTAACAAAAATTAATTATTCTTATGTGGTGATCAAATCATATGTGTCCCACTTTAATCCCGTTATGATTTTCCTTAAGTAGAAAAAATAACTTTAAAAATAAAAATTATGTNGTATAAAAAAAAAAAAAAAAAAAAAAAAAAAAAATGAAATAAAAACAATTGATAAAATTCATGAGCCTATTCGTAAGCTCGGAGGAGAAAAAAATCAGTCAATTTTCTCTCGAATCCGCACAAAGAGACAGAAAAACACACCGAGGAATTTTTCCTTCAACCGAACACACACACACACACACACATTTACACGAAATTCATCCAAGACGATCCTATACGCAGCGAAACCGTAATTGCAATGGATTATTGTCTGCTCGGAAGAGATCAAAAAGGCGTTTATAACGGTTAAACGTACAGCAACGAGCAAATACACGTACGTTACATAAGTCATCCGCTCGACTCAGGCTCTTGAGAATCTCTTTGCGAAAAATACCGAACAACATGAGCGCTCCGTTTTTTTTTTTTCACACGTAATATATGTGCCTACAACCATCGTCTACGTGACAAAGCATCAAACGAAAAAAACCACCATCGTTCATGAATAAATAAAAAAATAAATTCTCATCAATAAAAGCCGAGAATCAATTTCACCTGGTTGGGCGAGTCGCGATAGCGATTTTCCGTACGCTCCGAAAGAAAAGAGCGTCGCGCTTTTGTATGATCGCAGATAAAATTCTCTTGAAAAACAGACGTCTCGAGCGTTAGCGCGTCAATACAATAAAACACGCGTGTACGGTACAATAAAAAGACTCGCGTATACGTTTATCGGCAGATATACATAACGATCCCTAATATATACATTTTAGTATTACGAAGCAAACGAGGTGAAAAAATTTTTACAACCCCGTTGTGTGTATTGCAAAGTTGCGATGCAAAGTGCGCGCAGTAGCTTGACTGTTGGGAAAAAAGAAAATACTCGACGTTAGCGATTATTGGGGAGAACAATAAATATTAATAATGAAGCTCGTCGCGCCGGAAAAGCTGGTGTTTACATTTCAATGCTAATAAATAAGCCATACTTAGTGCACTAGAGGGTGTTTTCGCGCAATTTGTAATTTAAATTTTTTATGGCTGGATTATCGCGCGCCATCTACGAACGCACGCACACACGAGCAAGCGCGTCGAGGCCGTCGAGCGCGCACCACCACTATCTTCCACACGCGCGTCGCACGTTCACGTGACGGGAGCTTGCATCGGAATTACAGGATAAGTTGCGTGGAAGAGATAAACGATTGGAAATATACATTGTATAGAGTAAATAAATAAATGGTAACAGTTACGTGGAACAAAATTTTACAATTCGGTTGACGAAACAATAAAACGTTTACAGGCTTCTATAGAGCTTTTTCCGAATTTAAAATTTATTTGGAAAGTATAAAACGTCGTCATATACATCCCACGGCTTATCAGTGCGTCGGCAAAGTCGCGACGTGCAAGTGCAGCGCCAACCGACTGCGCCCATTGATAACTCGATCAAATATTTTTATAATAAATAGTAAAAGAAAATTAACAGATGCTCACGTACTTGTGAAAAAGAACACAAAAATACTCTTGACTTCGGCACATAACCTTAAACACACGTATAATAAATTAATAACTTTGTAAAACTTTTTTACTCTATTTACACATATTTGCCACAAGTTTTATCCACAAAATGTAGAAAAATCAATTAAAAAAAAATGAACGCTCAATTTGAGCTGTATAATATAGAAGCGCGTCAGTTATGGGTCGCACGCGAGATCTGACTGCAGGTGCTGTGCCAGGCCCTGTGGTGCTTATCCACATCGCTATACATCGGAAAAGAAATAACTATATACGTATAGATATACCGGAGACGCTTGCAGCCTAAAGTACTACCTACAAGTACGAAGTTCGAGATAGAGATATATTTTTTTTTTTTAAATTGTATTCACCTGTATACTTAAGTGTAAGCAAAAAAAACTTGCTACACTGACGATTTAATATGTATGTAATGCATTTGTCACTTATATATGTTACACAGAAGATTGCCATTGTTTTAACGCAGAGTCGAAACGAATATGGTTTGACTGTTTTGTTTTCATTGTATGAGCCTCAAGACTAATTGAAAGCACAAGCATACAAGTATAATATGACCTTGTGCTTTTCCCTATTCTATATACGTTGTTTTGCATCAACTGATAAAGACGCTAAAGTGTTCTCTAAGTGACGATTATTTTATAAACACCTCAAGTTGTCAATTGGTGATTTTGGTTGAAACAATGATATTTTCAAATAAAAAGAAAACAGTGAATTCCTTAGTTATTCAATCATTTTAACCCATCAATATACTTTTGTTATTCAATAAGTAACATGAAAGAAGGATGTATCCAAGTATTGGATGATTTGAAAATTGAAGCATTTGCTTTTTTACATGACTGCCAACACCAAAATGGCAAAATGTACAATTAGTTTACAAAACAAGCACGAGGGGGAAGCACTGAGCAGTTGTCCGCTGCGGTATCGCTTTGTTGGCAATGAAATTGAAAAATATTTTCCCGCTGTTATGTTACAGAAAAAAACGAAAGAAACGTGTATAAACTTGCATCAAAGTAACCTCACTTTTTTCTTTTTTAGTTGCATAAGTAAATGTACGTTAACTTGGCTGTCAAAACAAGTGTCGTTGTTTCAATTTTAGTGAATTATCCCATTTTTTTTAAATTGACAGCCTATGTTATATTTTGGTGATTAATTACGTTTTAACGTATTATTTTTTTTTTTCGTTACATTTAACGAAACAAATATAGGGACTATTTTGTTTTGGTGTCGAATTTCATATCTCGACTCCTCTTTTCAATTCAACTAATTTTTGTTTTATCATCCGGTAACACAGTAGTTGTAAGTATTCTACGCTTGATTAATACACGATATTTAATAAGAAAAATTTCTATGCATTTCAATGTCTGTATAAAATATATATAAATGCCCACACAATTGTTTGTATGTAAATATAAAAATATTTGTTTATTGAGAATACACAAGCTATTAAGAGTTTTAATTCATGTCTTTCAATACTTGTGTTTTACTTTAACCACTTATGATATACATAATTATTGACATGAAAAAAAAAAAAAAAAAAAAAAAAATTAAACACAACTGTAAGCATTATAAAAATGTTTGCTATACCTAATTTATAAAAAGTAATAGATGGTAGAACTTAAGCTGTCCATTTCAGACATCGAGTGTCAAGATGTGTTCCCAGGCATTTGACGGAACAATATCTTGCCCCACATGGTATACATGTGTAGTTACTAGGAAACCCACATACTGCACAAAAATGTCTTTGTGGGTAACAAGATGGTGGAGCTTGAGCTGTCGTATAGTTGGGACCATTATTGTAGTTTAGATCTTCTTCCACAAGCTGCATAAAATTTTTTCTAAACTTCAATTTAAAGTATTCTGCTGACCTCGTTTTTCTCTTTCGAGTTTGATTCTTATTATCTTCTTGGAATTTTGGTACCTTTTTGCTCATAACTAAAATAAAGTACAGTGTAAGAATAGATTTTTACACAAATAAATTGCTAAAACATTTCATTACCTAAATCAGCATGAGGATCTTCATGAAAATTGTCCTGCTCTAAAGCTTCCAGTGCTTTTTTATGCCTGCGTCTTCTGGCATCTTCATCAAGAGTACGTTTTTGAATTATATCCTTGATTCTTCCGGATTCTCTTCCAGCCATGGTGTTTTATAATTAAAGTTCCTTATTACTAATAGAAAATTATTAAAAATTATTCTGCTTATGCACTTTTTTCAATCAGAGAGGCTGATATTTGATCCATCAAATCATCAACTTTTGCTTGCAAAGTATCTAATATATCAGTTGATATGAATAAATGTTTTTCATCCAAGTCTTGAATAATAAATTTTTTTCCCAAAGCAAAAGTTTCATCCAAGTGTAGCAAGAATTGTTTCATAGCTTCATCACTGAAAAAGCAATTGTTCAATTTAGAAATGTGTAATACATGCAAGCCATGAATAATACTAATAATATTTAATTTTATTAGAAACAAAATGTCCAAAAGGAAGAGAGTATCAGCAGATGAGAAGAGAACTAGGATACTCCAATTTTTTCATGAGAAAAAAGAATTTTACACCTTAAAAGAGTTGGAAAACACTATTCCAAAGGAATGTGGAGTTATACAGCAGGCTGTAAAAGATGTACTGCAAGCTCTGGTTGACGATGGCTTGGTACATTCAGATAAAATTGGTACATCTGTTTATTTTTGGTCTTTTCCAGGGTAAATAATTTATGGATAAATAAGTTCTCTTAGTTATTATTATTCTAAAGTATAAATCTATTTTAGAGAAAGAATACCACTCTTAGAAGCTCAAAATGCAGAAACTGGAAAGAAAATTCTTATTTTGGATGAAAAGTTTGAACGTTTAAAATCAGAACTTATGAGAGAAGAAGTGAGTATAATAATTAGTTTAAAGGTTACATTTTACAGCAAATTATTAATTCTTTAAACGCCAAACAGGTAAATAAAGAAGATTATGAACAAACTAGGGCAGTGATCAAAGAAATTAAAGATCTTAAAGCAGAAGAAGAAGAAATAAAAAAACAAATCATGAAATTTAATGATGCTGATCCAGAAGTCATAGCTGAAATGAACAAAAAAGTGAAGGTACCCAGAAAAAAAATTATCTAAAAACAAAGTAAAATAACATTATTCTATACTGTGTATTGTTAACAGTTTTACAAAGATGGAGCAAACACGTGGACAGATAACATTTTCAATGTGAAGACCTGGTGTAACCAGAAATTCAACATTGAAGGATCAGAACTGGACAAGCAGTTTCGTATTCCAGATGACCTTGACTATTTGGAGTAGCAGTGTCACGAAGAAACTTGTATATTTATTCACTGGTTAACACTTCCTTAAAGCCTTCAAGTACAAATTACTTACCATTCGACCAAAATTCCTTTCATAACATTCACCATTTCGGCGATTTGTTATCACTCGCTGTCATCTCCAACCGTCTCCTACATTACAAACGTTTTAGGTTAGATTTCAATGATTTAATACAAGGTCTGTTCGCATGTATAGCAAATTAAGGTTTGTTCGTTGAAAATTAAAATTTTTTCATAAGGGAATGACTATAAATATGTTGCATTCAATTTTTTCAAATTATTTGCTATTATACGACTGTATTTCATGGAAAATAAAAGTTTATCGAATAAGTAGAATATCGAATTGTTAAACGATAAGTAACGAAATATAGATACTTATACTTGAAAATGTTATTTAAATCTGTAAAATTTGAAACATACTTAGCTGCGTTTCTATATTTATAAGTAATCGAGATTAAATATTTCTCATATTTTTCTACTTTTGTATTCCCCAATACATGAAAATTATAATAAATGTATATTTCAATTAAGGAACTTTGTAATACTTGAAGTCATTAATGTAATTTAATTGTCGACACTCGAATCTAAAAATATAATTATATTTCGCAGTCACGTGCACGCAAAACATAAATGCGAAGGCAAGTGTAAGACGCCATCAAAGAAGAGTAACTTTTGGGGAACGTCAATTAACTCTAATTTTTCATTGTCAAGGCTCGCTCAACTGCGCAACAGGCATTTAACAATCAACCACTGAAGTATACTGTAAAAAAAATCACAAGTATATATAGGACGAAAAACGCTTCGTCTCCGAGAAAACATTTGCAAGATAAATATATGCGTTATAACCTCGTCGATGCCCAAAAAAACCATTACATCATCGGGAACATCTGTAGATCACCAACTGGGTCGCGGTATCGCAATTAAACCACACGAGGGATTCGCATGAGTACGTTCATCACCGCTGCGCGTGAGTTTTACGTCAAGTCGTGAAATACCTTGACACTCATTGAAGAGTTTTGCAACACACGGAAGTAAAAGATAACAAAATTTCCCCGCCGCCTCCCACTCCCTTTTCAAGCGCGCGCGCATACTAGCAGCCGAAAGCGTATATCGATCGAGAGCAGCAGCCAGAGGCAGTCTTCATATTCACGGTCGGACGACAGTCGAGTCACGTTCAGCAGTTCGTACTCGAACCTTGTGATACTGTAAAAGCAATTTGTCAAGTGAGTAGTACAACCCTTTGCAATTGTTATCATGCCCATATCCTTTCCTCTTTTCCAAAAGCTTAGTGTTCGTTTGAGGGTAAACTCGGGATGTGTGCATTATCTGCGTGTACGGGGAGTAAGATCAAGTGCAGACGGTCACGAAAGTAACTGCATGATGGACTTGGCCGTAAGTAAGCGCGTGGTCTCGAATCCCCTGACGCGCGCGAGTGTGTGCGAAGAAGCTGACACGTGGTCTTGGTGATTCATAATCATAGCTCCGAAATTCCATAATCAATCGCGAAAACTGCATCTATACGTAGGGGAGGCGCGCGATTGATTCGTATTTTTTTTCGTTGGTATTATATAACGGAGTCGTGCCCGCATATATAGTTGCGTTGGCCGTGAGCCAGTGCTCTCTACGCTGCATCATCTTCCACCTACCCTTCGGCTCATTTTTTTCGCGCCTACATTGATAACGAGCACAAATTTGCAAAATTGTCTTTCGAACGAGAGACCTCGCCCGCAATCCGCATTGTGCAAGAGACGCGCTCGCGGGGGCAATCGTCGTCTTCCGCACCCTTGGAATATTCGAGAGGGGGAGAGCGAGGGAGGGAAAACGGGCTAATATACGCTTACGCTGTGATGCGTCCTTGGGGCACGACGCCAGGAAACGCTTTTTCTGACCCCTCCCCCGCAATTATTTTCGTTTATGCGTGTATTTTAAATGAATAGCTCATCATAAGCAGACGACACTTTTTTTTAATCGATGAAAACACAGGTGCAGCTTTGCCCTTCGCTGTACCATAATTGAATTAACATTTAAGGTCATTGCCAAATCACTGCCATTTACTTGGTATGACTTTGCTCGTGACCGCGTCACGACCACGGCCTTGATCCTCGTCTCGAGGGTTGATCAATGAAACCTCGTAGATTAGTCATAAGCAGTAGAAAATCGGCGCGATATTTTCCATTGAACTCTATCTTACTCTGTACTTATTTAAAGGGAGTCAGTTGTTTCCACATTTTTTTTCTTTACAGCTGTTGGCTTGAATATTCTACAAGCTTATCGTGACGTGTGTTCTGACATTCCACAAAAGCATTAATCGAACTCTTTGATAAGTACATACAGCATTCCCCAAAACTATCAAATTAAGTATAATAATTCTTTCCTTTTGAAACTTGAGAAGTTTTTTTTTTATCACGCGGCGACGCGTCAAAATGATGACGTCAACGCGGAATCTTTACATTCGACGGAGCGCATTTTTTCACTTCTATAACTCACTTGACAATTAAATTGATCAGTTGACGCGTCTCGATGCATAATCACGAAAGTAAGCGATAACCCAATTACCCAACCGCTCCCGCAAGTTAATGATAATTGATTTTCGTTAGCTCGTCGTTAATTAATTTTTCATTGCAAATAGTTGCGCGTGGTCGCACTATGAACCAAATGTGAAAGCAAATTTTTGAAAAACCTAAACCAATTTGTTCGTAAAAGCGATGAAATCATTATGTATGCAAAAAAAATGTTTTTTAACGTCTGCCGCGTACAGTACCCATTATTAAGTTGTCCACCCACAAAATTCATAGACACACGGCTTAACTCATGATTCTTTTTTTCGTGTTGTGTAAATGTCACTACTCTCTTTTTTGTGTCAAACAACTTTTTTAATCGTCACTTTTACACTCGTATCTAGAACAATAAATTCGTTGATCGAGAAATGCTGATGTAACACGGTACACACATTACAAGGTCAACGTTGTCGTCTCTCCACGTGTGCGCGCACATAATATAGTATCACAGTTTTAGAATAAGAAATCTATTTTAACGAGGTAGAAATTTGTTATCGTTTAGCTATTATAGGTTTTGGGGTTTTTAATGCATACTTTAATTAATGAATTGTTAGTTGAACAATTTTTTTTTTTTTTTTTTCAGATTTACAAACATGAGTGTTCCAGCTGGTGATGCTGAAAAGGGAAAGAAGGTAAAAATCGTTTCTAGGTTTTTTATTTTTCTAAAGTTTTTAAATTTGGTTTTTTTAACAATAGATTATTAACAGCTAAAAAAATTTGGAGAGCTGCACCTAAGCGCTAATTAGTATTTAATAATTAAAAAGCGACATATTTATGTATACTCCAAAAACGTAATCTTATATTTATTTTAAACATTTCGCAATTTGCTACTCCCTTATAATGTGGGCAGAGGTCATTTAAAGGTCACTGTCACTGTGTTTTTACACATCTATACACATTACAATAATGGTTTTGAGTGGAAATGCCATTATTGTGCCTAACTATCATCTCAACTATTACTTGCATATTTCATTTTATAATTTATCTCTAAAAATATAATTTCAAGCATGATAACAACTTGTGTTATATGTTTTGTTTTTAGATCTTTGTTCAGAGATGTGCTCAATGTCACACTATCGAGGCCGGTGGTAAACACAAAGTTGGCCCGAATCTGCATGGTCTGATTGGCAGAAAGACCGGTCAGGCTGCGGGGTACGCTTACACAGATGCCAATAAGGCTAAGGGTGAGCAGACTATTTTTATTAGACAAAAAAACATAATGCGCAACAGCATTCCAATGATGTTTCCTTTTTCGTAATCGCTTGGGTGTTTGTTTTTCGTTCAATAGGTATCACTTGGAACAAGGATACGCTGTTCGAGTACCTCGAGAACCCGAAAAAGTACATTCCTGGCACGAAGATGGTGTTCGCCGGCTTGAAGAAGCCCCAGGAGCGGGGTGATCTCATTGCTTACATTGAACAGGCCTGCAAGTAAATTCACCTTATCCTTGGAGAGTCAACTCGTGCTGAGATTGTATTGTACTGGACAGCCGGGAACTTAGGGCAATTATCATCAATGTATAACCGTTGCGTCCCAGTCAATCAATTTTTCGAATCCAGTGGACGGCTCTTTCTTTTTAAACAGCAATGAAAAAAAAAAAAAAAAAAAGAATTATGAATAAAACTCGCGTCGTTTTACGATAAATGAAGCACCTAGTGGAAATTGTTAATATTGTTAAATAAGTAGGAAAAAAAAAAAATTAAAAACCTTGTGAAAAAGTAACGAATGTATGTACATTGCTCAGCGAGTCTGAACGCAAAGTATCAGCCGCGAAATGTCCTCATTGGAAGTATTGCTGTGCTGACGACTTGATCTTTATTAGAGGTTGAGCCTCAGCGAGATCGAACTTTTAGTTTATTTATTATCACACCGATATCAACCTTGTTTGTTGATTCATGTTCATGTATTCTCTACATTAAAATACAGATTCGATAAACGAAAACTTGAAAGCTTTCGTCTTTTTCTAACCTTTCTTTTAACTTTAATTTTTTTGTATTTTATTTAAATTATATAACTTTGCTATTTCATACTCGTAATTACAAATAATTTTGTAAAAATTGCACAAGATTATGTAATTTTTTTTTTTTTTTTCAAGCAAATTTATTGTCATACTGACTAACGTATGAAATCTCATTTAAATTATAAATTGATCTAAAGAAGTTAATAATTATTGACACCAAATAAAAAATTTAATTAAAGTTTCAAGTTGTAGAGCGAATTCGCCTCAGCGGAAGCTGTGAATATCGACCTGACCTGACCTAATCAATCAAGTATTTTCCTTCACACATATTCAATTTAAACATGCTTTTCTATTAGAGAAAATAACTGATTTCAAATTAATATCGGCTAAAGTGCACGATTACTATAGGGTATTTTTATTTACGTTCACCTTTTCATATTCATTGATGTCTGTCTGTTTGATAAATTTTTTCCCAGTGTTTTCGTGAACTGCAAGATACTGTCATTATTTTATTCTCAGTATTTTTATCAAAAGTTATAAAAATTTGTCAAGTGCTCGTGCATAAATGTGTACACCACCACTGATGTGGTCGTGATATTACATGCACATTTGAAAATAATAAACATCAAACGACATAACCTTTCTAACAACAGCAGGTTTTTTACTTGTTAGTCAATAACTACTTTTAAAAAATCATACAAAATACTCACATTATTTTTAATTTAATTTACCTTTGCAGAGAAACGATGAGTAAAGACAGTAGCAAACCAGATAAAAAAGTATACACAGATACTGACCGTTTGAAGTTGGCAGAGAAGCTAGACAAGGAACTTGATGAATTTATAAGCAATCTTGACAGAAAAACATACACAGAAGGATGGCCAGAGGATCGTTGGCAGGAAGAAATGGAAAAGCATCCATTTTTTATGACCAAAACGCCAGAAAACCCTTCAGAAATTTCTCCTCTCGTGGAAGGACTACAACAATTGAAATTCAGCGAGGATTGCAATACTCCGGACGAGTTGGCCCAAAATTACAAGGAAGACGGTAACTTTAACTACAAGCACAAAAAATACAGGCTTGCTGTTTTGAGTTACTCACAAGGAATCGCTTGCAAAAGTGAAAATACTGATTTGGTGGCTCAGCTGTACAACAACAGGTCATTGGCACAATTTCAATTACAAAATTATAGATCAAGTTTGATTGATTGTAAGCATGCCCTGAAATTGAAACCGCACTACTTGAAGCCATTATTGACAGCGGCTAAATGTAGCTTTCACGTTAAGGACTATGATCAATGCCTCGATTACTGTGATGAAATATCAAGTATACCAGATTTAGGAGAAGAAGTTGAACAAGATAACAATAAACTGAGATTGGATGCTGTACAGAAAAAGAGATTGATGCTGAGGGATGCAAGATTACAGGATCTTAAAGCAAATAAGATTGAAAAGCACAAGGAAATGATAATGGAGGCGATAAAATTAAGCAATATCAAGGTAGGAAATGTCGACGAATTCTTCAACGACAGCCAATATCACGTATATTTGAACAATGAAGGTGCCCTGGTGTGGCCAGTGATCTTTCTCTATCCTGAATTCAATCAAACGGACTTTGTGGAAAATTTCAATGAAGGTACGTTAATTATCGAGCAGTTGGAGGAAATTTTCGAAGAAACACCTTCATGGGACTGTGAAAGCCGTTATGAAGCTGAAACGGTAAATGTGTATTTTACGGGCAGTGACAAAAAACCCCATAAAATAAATAAGAATCAATCATTGGCTGAAGTTCTCCAGCATGAATTGTTCATTGTCAACGAAGCCGAAATCTTTTTATATATTTTACTAGCTAATAGTAAAGCTGAGGAACATTTTTTAAAGATCAATAGTTAAACTAGCGATCTGTGTAAACTTATAACATACTGTAGGGGTATGTTGAAAATGTTAGTCAAAGCATTACAAAGTTTTTATTACTTTGACAATTATTGTGCTCACTCGAAATAAATAAATATTATTTTTTAAATACTTTGTCGTTGGAATTTATCGTAAACAATATGCACAATATATAAAAAAATAATTTATAAAATTAGTTGTAAGAAGATGATAAAAGACAAGATTTGTTTCATCTTCTAATCTTATGATGGCGATAAAACATATAGGACCGCTATATAATGCATACACAAATAAAAATTGCAGAAATTTGCAATTGCAATTTTTCACATCTTGTATTTTATTACATATTTTTAATTAAAAAACCAGACGTTTCTATACATTAATATAAAATTGAAAAAAATTCATCACTCGGTAAGAGTTGACTTTGTATGAAACTACTCAACAGAAATGAAAGACTCTTGATTCTTGGTACGCACTCTCGAGCTGTTTTTACGATAAGAATTCGTAATTTGACACTCTTTGTTTAAGATACGAGCTCTGTTCGGAAATGACGTGTTGGTTAAGTATTAAGTTGGTACCTACCCCCACCCTGGCTTAACTAACTGACCGTGTGTTCACACATGTAAATAATAGTTAATCAACTGGTCACGTTTTGGCGCACTTTAAGCGCTTTTAACGTTAAAGAGAGGATTGATAGACCATATAGTTCGCCAGCGCGACCATATATATTGAATACATCGCGCTTCAGTTCTTTTCTTGTGCTCGTGAAGTTTGATTAAAATACCTTAAGTATAACGCTTACCGTTACTTTTTTTAAAGTGCTCTTGTAAGTTACAAGTGTTTGTGTAACAATGTCCGGAAAGCTAAAAAAATTGTTGGCTTACGATTTAAATGGTTATTTAAATATTACCACTCCGTTTTACAGCAAACATGTGTAAGAAATCAGTCAGCGATCGGCTGTAATCATAGCCCGTCAATTATTTCGAGAAAACGCAATGTGGGATGTAATAGAACCTTACATTGCCTCCTCTATACACAAAAACGTGTATGACAAACTAAAAAGTTGCTTACATTCGTATTATACCAGTCGTTGTTTTTGTATTTCGGAAAAATCTTATATTTACGAAAATACTCCCCTATTTTTTCCGAGTGAATGGAGCAATGATCAATTGGAAGTCGAGGGAGGCTTCGATTTAATGATCGACAATCGCACTGTAGTAGTTAAATTTACTTTAAAGTTAATGTTGTATACCGATCGTCTGAAAAATGATTTGTCTAAAGATTACATCGTGGCATCTGAACCCCATGATTGTTGGTCAAAGTGGAAGGCAACAGCTTTAAGTGCACTGCAGAATTCAAAGTGCCGTTGTGCGTTTTCCGCATACGTGGTGGATAACGCCGTTTCTGCTGAGATGAAGCGAGTTCCTATAATTGAATGCATACAAAGTATATTCGACCTAATGCGCAGCAACTAACAATTCGCTTTTATATATTTTTAGGAAAACTCCGATAACTTATTTTCCACCTAATGATTATTAGATTACATCAGTAATTAATTTTTACAGTTTGTATGAATATACATACATATACGTATAGGTACGATCATATAAAATTGTTTTGTCGCTAATTCATTACTGCTGTTTTGATGAATTTCTAAAAAATAAAGATTTCATGGCAAATACATAATTACAAGTGTGCTGAATTGTTTTAATTCCCAGTTACTTTTTTTTAGTTTTTAGTTCGAGATTTCAAAAAGATTTGTACTTAATATCCATAATTTTTAAAATTAAAAAATGAGACGTTCCAAGATTCACAGAAGATTCAGCTGTAACGATATGTATTACATGATAAACGAACTTGGATGAAAATAACGAAAAAAACGTGATTTGTATAGGTAAACGAAACAAAGGCCCAGTGGAAAAATTTCAGTTGCACACAAAGTACTCGGATGGAATGAAAAAACTCTCATACTACTCATGTACCTACACACGCATCATGTATAGATATACATAGCTCGGAGTTATGGGACATTCTCCAGACGCAACAGGACCCGAAAATACCATCTAGCTTGATGGGCCTCCCCCTTAGGCGCGCTCGTTGCGTATACATACATGAGATATATTTCCTCTCATTCTCATTCGTAAATATATATATATATATACACGTATGAGAGTATAATATAAAGTCCACTCCTCACCCACACCCATTTCCTATCCTAGTCTCCTCTTTCCCTCCCACACAGAAATTAACCCAAAGATGCGTATACATGTAAGGTACAACTTGTACCAATATACCTTCGCGTATATGTGTATATACTACATCGTGCCTCACACAGCGCGCCCAAGAATACATAGTACGCACACACTTCGTAGAAAATGTATCTTTTTAAGTCACGGCTCTTCCCCAACAACGTCCACCGGATCAGTTTCTCTTCTACATTCTCCGCTCCACGAGCATTAAAAGCTTCACCATCAGCATGCCGTGCTCGGAATCGTTCGCGTTTTCACGCCCCCTGGCCCAACATATTATACATGCTGAATTGTCGCGTCGTTACCTCGTCAAGTACCAACGATAATTGAAAGAAAGAGTAGATTTACCAAAATGAGTACGACAATAAGAGGCGGCATGGCCGGCTACAGTGGGGGCAGCGGCAGCACCACCGGTGGCGAGGACCTCGTGTACTTCGAGTTGCGGGGAAGTTACTCGATAACACGGCCTTTTTACGCGGAGGATTTGCCGGAGATAAGCCGGCGTAGCGCGGTGATAATGGCCTGTCACCTGCTGTCCCAGCCCCAGATAAGCGATTGGGACCGTTTGCGGCCGTACGTCGCCTCGTACCTGCACCGTGCCATATCGAGCAGTAGCGGCGTCATAAGCTTCAACTCGTCGCTCATCCAGTCCTTCGGTGACAACGCGTACGTGCACAATTGCCCGGTTTACAAGGCATCGGTCAAAGCGCCCAAGAACCGCAACGTCCGCCACGAGGTCCACGGTAGCCAGGAGCTCGGCGTCGGCGCCGGCATATCCGTCCACGTCAAGTACAATTTGGCCATTTTTTGCAGCCTCGATCGCACCAAGGGCGACCTCATCGACTGCACCGAGGCGCCCGAGCCGCACTACTCCTGGTGGGACCTCATCAAGATAGCCGACTGCGCCAGTCCGGGCCCCACCAAGGTGCCCTTCGTCGTTGTCGTTGACAAAGCTATTTGCGCCGAAATCAAGTGAGTTGTTATACTGGCACGACGGGGCCATTTTTTTTTCATTTCCACTTTGACGCGAGATAACTTGACGATATTTTATTCCTTCTTCCAGGCGCAATCCACTGGTCTGTCTCACGGAAAAGTAAGTCCACAGGGCTACATACGATTGGTATACATCGATGCTTGTGTTTTGTTGGAAAAATAGTTCAAGTGCCATTTTTTCTTCTGTTTTTTTTTCATTCGACTGGTCACCGATCATGTCTCGTCATCGCTCACTTGTCGTTTTATTTGTGAATAAATTTTTTTTTTTTTTTCCGTTCATTCACGTTTATTTTTAAATTGCCATAGTGTATATAATACGTACGTTGTCTTATTCGTGTGATAATATATATTTTTAATTGGAAACGTATAAAGGTATTGTTATCGAAAAAAATTTGTATCTGTGTATTTATAATTGTATGGTTTGTCAACACCATTATAGTAATGTAAAATATTCAAAAACCGGTAGCTGTTGCTTAGTATGCATTTTTTTTTTTTTTTTTTTTATTAATAGCCCTTTTTTTATTGCTATGGAGACGAGCATCTCGATTTGTTAGTTCATTCTAGCAATAATAATTGTCAATCTAAACTTTAGTCGGAACAAAAAAGAAACCACGTTATGGCTTAATGGCTCTTTAAAAAAAACGTTGACTATTGTTTACGTAAATTCTGTTAATTTTTTTCGTAAAAAAATAGAAACAGTGAAAAATGGCCATTTTGGTCTCCAGTTTTGGATTGATTGTGAACACGTCAATTTGAGTTTTGTACATATTTGCTGTTTTCCACAAACTATTAAAATTTTATGCATAAATAAGGTAAATAATTTACAGAAATAGTACGCCAATAGAATACCAGAAACTATTTATAAAGAAAATACTAAACACTCCTTGTAAATAATAATTTTGCATAACGAGAGGGAAGCATCTGGCAAATAAACATGAATAGTTGCACTCATGGTCACAGAGGTATAGTTACGTAAAAAATGTAGAGCAATCAGATTAGAGACGAAAATTTTGAAAAACATCTATACAAAAAAATAAAAAATAAAAAATAAAAAGATAACACGAAGAGAATACTTGATATCTAATGAGAAAAAAGTGACATTTGTTCTTTTCGGGAATTTATTTACGTAACTACGATAAACACTATATTAATTTTGGGTAAGAAGTGTGCGTTAAAAACGTCCATTTCAATAGTATAAAAAAAAGCCATTTCAATATAAAATAACCGTAACAACTATCAATGGGTTCCGCATGTCAACAAACTTCAGCATATGCGGATTACAGTCTCTGATTTTATCATTCTAATAAAGAGAGCACGGTGCACGATATACGTGAAGTTATGTGTAGTAATTATAGTAATCACTACTAATAAGTAGTGCCATATGGTCAATTTTATTAAACCATATAAGTAGAATATCCATACTTTTGGTGATCGATTTTCAGGTAAAGGATAAATTGTAAACTTGCCGCAAACAGCCAAAATGATTCCAACTTATTAATATCTCTCTGTCAATTTAGTTGCGGCTGGTTTATAATTGATTATGTGGCTCTGCTATAAGTAGTATTAATTATTTGGATCAGCGCCATCTAGCGTTACGGATTTCTGAACTAAAAAGTGGCCCTAAACTTTTCAGCCGGAGCCTTAGCGCGTAGAGCCATTTAATCACTTATAAACCAGCCGCAACTCATTTGGTAGCTATAAAATGAAAAAATAACGATACGTATGTTTTTGGCGGCAAGTTAACAATCTATTATCTATCAAAAAATTGACCTCATATGTATTTATACTTTTGAAGATGAATTTTCGAGTAAAAAATAGATTGTTAACGTGCCGTCAAAAACACATATATCGTTATTTTTTTATTTTATAGCTACAAATTGAGTTGCGGCTGGTTTATAAGTGATTAAATGGCTCTACGCGCTAAGGCTCTGGCTGAAAAGTTTAGGGCCACTTTTAAGTTCAGAAATTCGCAACGCTAGATGGCGCTGATCCAAATAATTATTACTACTTACAGTAGAGCCACATAATCAATTATAAACCAGCCGCAACTAAATTGACAGACAGAAAACTACAATTTTACAGTACAATTAATGTTGCGGCAAGTTTGCAATTTATTTTTTACCTGAAAATCAATCACCAAAAGTATGTATATTCTACTTATCTTACGTGATTTATGAAATCGATTTTTTTACCAGAATAATAAAAACATAATACTTTAGCCTGACTTTTCGCAAAAATCCGAGAAAACTAGTGCTTCCAACCCAGATAAACTCAAAATAAAAACGAAATATAAATGTGTACGCAAAACATGTATATATTTATTACGTACATGATTGGAAAAAATGATAAGAAATTGTCGGTACCGATGGCCACCAATGAATAAACTAAATCCCTACTATGTCGATAATGATGCACGGACCCCTCCGTATCGACTGAATACATGTAGTGTATATATAGATATACATACATGTATTGCGTACACATATATATTTCGTTTTTATTTTGAGTTTATCTGGGTTGGAAGCACTAGTTTTCTCGGATTTATTACTATACTTATAGCAGAGCTACATAATTAATTATAAACCAGCCGCAAGTAAATTGATATAGAGATATAAATAAGTTGGTATTATTTATGCTGTTTGCGGCAAGTTTACAATTTATCCTTTACCTGAAAATCGATCACCAAAAGTATGGATATTCTACTTATATGGTTTAATAAAATTGACCATATGGCACTACTTATTAGTAGTGATTACTATAATTACTACACATAACTTCACGTATATCGTACACCGTGCTCTCTTTATTAGAATGATAAAATCAGAGACTGTAATCCGCATATGCTGAAGTTTGTTGACATGCGGAACCCACCGACACCGACGGTTTATACATGCAGTTAGTACAGGTTGACGCTAGCGCTGCCTGATCATGTGATCGTGCGGCTTTACCACGACCTATATACCTAACTTAACTGCTGGCAGCATTTGCGGAATACAGCCCGTAACCCGTAACCCTAACAAAAATCTCAGCAGGCATGCCAGGCAATCAGTAGGCAACCGCGAGTTAGTTGTCGTGATTATATTTGATTGAAGAAAAATAAAGGAAAAACGTATTTTCATACAAAAGCAATGAGCGTGACTATTTGTCTTTCCTCATCAGAGGACGAAGTAATTGTTGAACCTACAATAACAGTCAAAGAGAAAAGTGTTCAATCAAAGGTTAAACTGTTTAATATTTCAACATTATTACTTGATCACTTGTAACGTATAAAACTTACTCTCTTCCATCTATCAACGCTAATGCGTTTCTTTAAAATTTTCGTGAAGTTTTCAACTTTTAATTATCAACTGTTTAGTTTCAGTTCCTCATGAGCGTATTGTAATTCTGTATTTAAATATATTTACTGAAAATTTTTTCAGGACAACACCGAATGTGCAGGTACTGAAAAAAAATTGAAAGAAGCAACAGAAGCAACAAATGAAAAGAGAAAGCTTTCGAGTTCGTTTAATGAAAACCGCAGTCGCTTCAAGAAACCTAAATTTCAAGATATGAATGAAACGGTTAAGATGATTAATAGTAGTAGCTCGGACGAGTACTTATCAAGTACAAGTATTCACGATGATTCTGTAACAGAAATCACGAGTCCCGTTGAAGACATAACAGAACATTATGATGAAAATGAAAAAATATCTCCAAACAATAAGAAATCCAAACGTATTCAGCCAGTCTTGGTTGTCAAGGACAAAGTGGCAATCCCAGATCCTTCGGATGACGTTTTTGATAATTTTGTAAAAGCATGTGTCAATCATGACAAAGCTGACGAAGAAACAAAGGAAATCCTTGAAAAATTGCGAAAAAAATACAAGAAACTTGACTCTTTTGACAAAAACCATGAAGAATTTAGATTTTTTCTCAGTAAATGCTTGAACGAAATCAGTCGTAAAAGAATTAAGCTGTACGAGAGTATTACTAAAGTTAAAAAGGAAATCAGTAAACGTCTAAACACACCCAAAACAAAGGAACCTACAGAAGAAAAAGACAGTGCATCAGATGAAGAACCAACGTTCACTGAAGAAGAGTTGAACAAAATTAGGCAGCTGGAAGAAACTATAAAAAAATGCATTGAAAGGATAAAAGAACTGGAATCCGAAGAAGTAATTTTAGACGATGATGAGGATTCTGCATACATGAAAGAAGATAGATATAAAAGAAAATTAGTTCAGTTATACGTTGCTCTGAGTGATATTGCAAAAGATAAAAAATTAAAATCAGAACTTAGAAAGAAAAAAGTTTCAGTGAAGGATATCCAAAATGAGATGATAGATATTAATGTCATAAATCAGTCAATTGTTGATTATATCAACTCTAGCATTAAACGTATGAACAAATTAAAACATGTTAGGAATTGCAACACTACACCAGATTATATTGTGGCACCGGATTATCACGATTTATTGAAAATTGTAAAAAAAGATAATGAAACACATAAGCTTCACCTCAGTGAAAAAGGAATACAGCAGTATGGTAAGAGTTTCATATTGTTTATACTAGTATGAGTATTATATTATCCTTAGTATTGATAAATTAATTTTTTGTAGCTACTAACGCTTTGAAAGCCGTAACAAAGTATTTGAAAAAATGTCGGATACAGGAATCTGATAAATTTTTATCATTTTTCATTAACAAGGATGCAAGCCACAATGTTGACCCTGCAGTGAATGATCATGCTCTACAAAAAACTCTGCAGCAAAATAAAGTAATGGGTGAAAAGCTCTTAAATGAAGTTTTTAAAAAATACGAAGACATGCAAGATAAATTGACTCCCGAAGAGTTGGAGAAACAAATGTGTGATGATCCACTTAGTTAATCTCAGTTGTAGCAAGGCACTGGAGAGCAGTCAAAAAGTAGTACAGTTGAATTAATCATCAGCAGGTATCAATAAATTAATTTTACATAAATATAAAAATAAGTTGAAGTATAATATTTTTAAAAAACTCTATTAATTTCCACAGCACTATGATATCTGGCAATTGAGATAATTGAGCTGGATGTATAATTTTTAAGAGACAGTCTGATTGTTGTTCAACATTGTGGCTCACATGCTCCACAAATAGAGTAAAGCTTCCTTGCGTCTCCAATGCATTGGAAGCGATCCTACCTAGAAAGGCAATAATAAATTAGAGAAAAGTATATTTATTTTTTATTAATTAATCGGTATGAAACGTGTGGTAGGGTAAACTTGATAGAAAAAATTGTATTTACACTGTAAAAAAAGCCTCAGAGCTACTTGTTTCGAGTAAAAATTTTAGTCATAAGTTAATCATTTTAGATGATAAACAGTTGATTACATTTTAAATTAAATAGTATAGTTAATTGCAGTCGAATTTAACAGTGACCGATTAACTACATATTTCAAAAAATTTTTATTTAGCGATGTAAATAGTTGGAAAACAAAAACGTTGTCGCTATATAGCTTCATATAAGTGCATATTGTTTGATTTCTTAGAAATTTTCTCCTTTGGGGACAATTTAATTAACTTGTGTTGTTATTCCATTGAAGAATGATAAAAACCATCGGTGTATTTCTTTTAATATTGACGTTCTGTACTGTCTTTTTGGCAAGTCACCCAAATGAATTATATTGTAGTCTCATGATACTATTGCAACATGTGAATAGCCACGCTTTATACATAGAGATCTTGAATAAATATATGTTTTGTACCTGGAGAATTTTATTTATATTATGTTTCATTGACCATTGTTCCAAAAATTTACTTGTATTTATCTAAGCTTTCATATATCAATATATTTAGGTCTGTATCATATAACAATCATGACTGTTACAACAGTCATACAACTTGCATCAGCCTTTTTTAGTACAAAAGAGTACCAGGTTAACGGATCTGCTGATCCTCAGAATTTGAGTTCTTTAACTCTTATGTTGTAACAATAATTGATTATTCCATTTAATGAAAACTTAAGTCTCTAGAATAATTGCATACTTTACCTACATAATTTCATACATTTCTCTAGTTTGAAGGAGGTACATTTTTTACGTTGGCAACCAACACATAAAACAGTTGCCTTCTCTGAAAACTTCCCCCCCCCCTCCCAGCCCAGACAACTTTTGTTAATCTCTTTTCAACAGTTATAATTATCAAAAAAAAGATGTTTTCAATAATAGTATCAGAATTAAGAAGTCTCATGATTTTTTCAGATCTAAAACATCCTTGTCAAATTTCATTCTGGTGAAGAGTTAATATGTATGGTAATTAAAGTAGTGCTATAAAATTTTATACACCATCAGCCGCAACTTCAACCATTAGATAGAAAATAAATAGTTGTACATAAAAGTGCCATTTGTAACAGTATTAAAATTTAACTTCTATTTGAAAACCGACGAAAAATTCCTTTTTTTAATAGTCAAACTTCGAATAAAAGATAAATTACAATCTTGCCACAAATGGTACTTTGCAGTACGATTTTTTATTTTCTATCCGTTAAAAGCTTTAGAGGCCTAGATCCATGTAATCAATTATAAACCAGCCTCAATTAATCTCATAGATATAAAATAAAAATTTGACGTTGTTTATGCTATTTGCGGCAAGTTTACAATTAATTTTTTACCCGAAAATCGACCTCCAAAAGTATAAATATTCTACTTATCCTAAATGGCTTATAAAATCGACCATATTTACAAAATTACAACACTTTAGACCTTATACCATTATGTATAATCTACTAAAAATTTGACTGTTAAATATGGTCGATTTTAATCCATATAAGATAAGTATAATATTTATACTTTTAGAGGGCAATTTTCGGGTAATAGATTAATTGTAAACTTGCCGCAAATAGCATTGATGATGTGAACTTTTTATTATATATCTATAAAATTAATCGCGGCTGGTTTATAATTGATAACATGGCTCTACTGTAAGTATAGTTGTAGTAATAATTTATTTAATCAGCGCCATCTAGCGTTGCGGATTTCTGAACTGAAAAGTGGCCCTAAACTTTTCAGCCGGAGCCTTAGCGCGAAGAGCCATTTAATTACTTGTAAACCAGCCGCAACTTATTTTGTAGCTATAAAATAAAAAAATAACGATATATGTGTTTTTGGCGGCAAGTAAACAATTTATTTTCTACCAAAAAATAGACCTCATATGTATTTATACTTTTGAATATGAATTTTCTAGTAAAAGATAGATTGTTAACTTGCCGCCAAAAACACATGTATTGTTATTTTTACATTTTACAGCTACAAGAGGAGTTGCGGCTGGTTTATAAGTAATTAATTGGCTCTACGCGCTAAAGCTCTGGCTGAAAAGTTTAGGGCCACTTTTTAGTTCAGAAATCCGCAACGCTAGATGGCGCTGATCCAAATGATTATTACTACTTATAGCAGAGCCATTTAGTCAATTATAAACCAGCCGCAACTAATTTTGCAGATAGAAAATAAAAAGTTAATTTCAGATGTGCTATTTGCGTCAAGTTTACAATTTATCTACTATCCGAAAATTGACTTTCAAAACCTATTTGAAAATACGACCACCAATGAAAAAATGGACCACCAATGCCCCGAATGCCCCGATGCGCTGCGCTGTGGCTAGCTAATATCTCGGCAATGGCAATAGCGGACAATGACTCATCACGTGTGAACGAAAAAAGAAAGTCATCATATTTGCAATTACTTTCATTGTTGTCGAGTACTTATCACTTATTTATAGTCATAGAATATCGCACAGTTGGATTAGATTAAAGATAAGACTATCATTATAATACATAGTCGGAATTTGGGACTTCAAGTGTTTAAATACAGTTGAAGGGACTGAAAAAATACCGCAATGTTGCAAAGGAGCCAAAATACCGCGTCTCAAAGGACGCCGAATGCCGTAACGCCACCGACACCGTCTCAAAGAGCTCCAACTTCTGCGTTATTAACAGTCCCACGCAAAACCCAAACTGCGGTAACGTTTCAAAGGACCCAAGGTGCCCTTACCCAAGACAATCGCAATGTCCCCGACAAAGTCGTGCTGTACCAGCTGGACGGCGAATGCTCCATCGAGAGTCCTTTTAATATCGAGCACTTGCCGGAAATCAGCCAAAGATCAGCCGTTATTATGGCCGCCCATCTCCTCTACTAGCACTCCTTTACCTGGGGCGAGATGTTGAGTTTTCTTGGATCTTCCATGTTTCGGCAGCTTCTGTCGAACAATCCGCCAGCCAAACGTTTTTTCGAAAAAGAATATTTTGGAATTTTCCTACATCAACTACGGAGAGATGAATAAGCGCCAACCGAAGCCATCCGAGAATTTGGTCCATACTGTGGAAGGTGGTGTCGAGCTTTTAATCTCCAGCAATGATTCCAGCCATGAGTTCATAATCGTTGTAAAATATAAATTGCACCTGAACATCTGGCCCAATCGACCTAAGCCTACCCTGGGATCTAATGTGAATATGGCTGTGTAACCTCATTCTTCGTGGAATACTTTGTTCGATCAATTCAGGATTTTTAGACTCCAGCAGGCGCTTCAGCAGCAAGATAGCTTCTCGGCTGCTAGGGTGGATGATTCCATGCTTTCTGAAATCAAGTGTGTAACTCAAGTTTTCTTTACATTTGTTGAATTGACAATTTTAATACCAATTGCTTGTTTTTTTTTTACAGGAAGCAGAAACCCTTTTGTTTTTCTTATAGAGAAAACTCTAGCTCTTCATAAGTCTTTTCATCTTGTTTGGAACCATTTGCATGAGTGTATTCTTAATCTCAGATGTTTTCACGTGAGAAAAAATTGCTGTTTTCAATTATATATGTTTAGATTAATGATTTTAAATATAATTTAATGAAAAAATGTTTCAATACATAAAATGTGTTGAAACTATATTATGGTTTGTACACTGTACGTAAAATACAATTATTAATTTTTTTAATAAAAATAGTTGTGATAACGATATTTTAAAAAGTCATTACAAATGCGTAGATGAGAACAACAGCTCGTTTATTATTTTACTTGCAAGAATACAACTTCTGTTTGAAATAATATGAGAAAATTTGAATTGTGCTTTTTTGTTGTACAAGCCGTCGATATAGTCTTTCGTTTTCGGCCTTAACGGGAGATTTCTTTACAAATTTAGAGATAGATTAATAGGTAGTGTGAAATGGAAGCAGCCCTTGGTTCTGGTTGCCCCACTTTTTATATTTTTCAATGAGTGTGCGTAAATTTGTCGGTGATTGGTGTAAAAACATCCAATATCAGCCATTATTATCAAACAAAATAGTATCAGTACATAGAACTGAAAACGTGAGGAAAAACTGCTGTTTATGTATTGAAATCACTGCAAATAACTTTGATCAAAAATATTTAATGAATGAAATTACATATATTAAGGACACGAGTAAAACACGGACGAGGGTGGAAACAATGTAAATATTGTTACAGTAAATTAACTGTTACTGCGCATAGAATCACGTTGATCAACAATTATTTAAATTTTTCTTTATTAAGCATCAGTGAAACAATGGAAAAGCACAATCCATTTACCTTAAGAGAATCAAAATTTCGTACCAAAAAGAGAAAAAAATGTTAATCAAGTGTAGTAAAAAATTTGATATATGATAATATATCAACTCATTCTTCTCCAAATTGTATATATATACATCACTATACTCGAATCAAAGGAGGGATGAGGAGGTCATCGAAAGAGAATATGACGGAGCCGCTGTTCCAGTTTCTCGGGTACTTTGGAAATTAACCCGAGGCATTTTCCTGCTCTTTTCATACGCGCAACCTTATCACGTATACGTATACAACTATACAGCAAACACACCATTCTAATTACAATTATTCTGTAATACAACGCATACATGCGTGGTCACGTTTGAATAATTTAGCTGTTTATCGTTTGTTTTTCTTTCATTCGAGCTGGTTGGCTATAGTTTGTTACTTTGTACAAATAAAATAGATCACGATCTCGATACGAATACGTTTCATATTTATGGTTCGCGATGATAAAAACAACAGCACGCACGTTATAATATACTTGAAGCAGTATTAACGGGTCAACCTCTTGAATCATCTAGTATTACCATATGTCGACTATTATATTATTTTTCCCCATCAACCACACACTTATGAAACAAAACATTGAAAACAAAAATCATCAACCGTACTCTTTCGCTCCCTGGAGGGCTTGCAGAGAGTCTGCCCCAAAAACACTCCACGCAATCAGAGATCCCTTACAACGACCCCCCATCCCAATCTGTGGGTAATCCATCACAACCACCCCTTCTTGCCTCAATCCATTGAAAATCAGACTCGAACTCAAGATAAGAGTAGCTTCGTATCGCACGGTTCATCACATATAAAATATACGTACACACACCCACGCGACCCAGCTTCACGAATCCATCTCCTCCTCCTCGGCTGGCGACCTCCGCGACCAAAATGTAGGTCAGCCAGAATATTTTGGAAAAAAAAAAAAAAAAAAAAAACTAAGGTGTCTTTAATTTACACTAATGGGCACAGTCAAGTTTTTTTTGGCATCATCTTTTCTACGAAACACAATAAAAAAAAAAAAAAAAAAAAAAAAAAAAAGACAGAGCTCGCGCGCGCCAGGGAGTGGGTTCAAGCTCGTCTGTGCACCAAAAGGGATGCAGCGATGAGGAGGGGGAGGAGAGGGTGCA